GGACGGCTGGAAGACGACCTCGGGCACGCGGATGCGCTCGACGTTGAGGTGGATCTGGTTCAGCTCGGCCTGGGAGCCGGCGTCAAAGGGCCGCGGGCCGCGCGCGAACGCGTGGAGCATCGATGTCGACCAGTCCGTCTTGGCCTCGTGGGTGTCCTCGTAACCGAAGTCCGGGTCGTAGCGTAGGAGGTCCTCCTCGTACGTCTTGAGGTTCGCCTCGAGGTTCTCCTCCTCCTGCTCGTCATCGCTGTTGTCGCCGACGGTAATCTGGCGGTACACGCCCCAGTCGTCGTCGTTTTGTCCAAAATTGTCGTCGTCGCCGCCGCGGCGCCGTTTCTTGACCGGGTTGTCGGACGCGAGGTTGGCGATGCTCTTCATGCGGATCTGCGAGGCGAGCGACTTGCGGTTGCCCAGGTCCTGCTTGAGGCGCTCACGCTCCTTCATCTTTTGCAGCGTCACCTCGCGCGCCTGGCGCCTCTCCTCGAGCCAGCCCTCGAGGTCGTTCTCGCGGCGCTCCACGTCCAGGCGCTTCTCCTCCTCGACGCGGGCCTTCTCGGCCTCCTTTTCGGCCTTGGCGCGCGCGCGCGCGTCGTGGTTGGACTTCATCAGCTTCTGCTGGCGCTTGGCCTTGATGCCAGCGTCGTCGAGCTCCTCGTCTGGTACGTCGAGGAGGTCGAATACCGGCTCTTGCTGCTCCTCTGCAGGGTCACCGCCAACGTCTTTTGTGCGCGCCTTTTTGACTGCCTTGTCGAGGGTGGCGATCGCTCTCTCGAGTGCAGCTTCATCCTTAAGGTCGTTGCTATCGAGCAGCCGCCTAACCTCCTTCTTGTTGGTCTGCTGCTCCAGCTTGACCTGAAGCTTCTTGTACTGTTCGAGCTCGTTCTCCTTGCGCATGAGCTTCTCAAGGCGCATCTTCGCAGCTTGTTCCTGTAACCGCCTACCGCTCTCCTTCTTCCGCTCAGCAATGCGAGCCAACTCCTCTTCCGTCTTTTGCACAATAACCTCCTCTGTAAAGGGGTACTGGATGACAATATCCCGGTCTTCGAGGCCGGTCCAGTCCAAGTAGCCTCCCAACTCGGTATTGTAGTCTTTTGAAACGTAGGCATGGTCGCGGAGCATGTGTTCGGCCTGGGACACATTGAGCTTGCCATTGAAAGCAGGGTACTTGAGCCTAATCAGCTTCAGCAGATACTCTGCCGCATGCCATCCTCCCCAGTTCAATCTTGTGGCTTGGCTCAGCAGGGCCTTGTGGTTGTAAACGGGTATCACGTGTGTCGAGGTGTAGGATGACGAGACTACGATGCCAGTGTTTCCCTTGTTGTGTGTGTAGGAGAAGAGCGAGTCGATGCCGTATGCTAGGGAGGGCGCGCCGTAGCATTCGAAGATGATTTCTGTCATAGCTTTACAGATGCGTCAGCTGTTAATCTTCAAATGCTGCGAGAAACCAGCTTACATTTCCGGGAGTAAGGCAAGTTGGCTACCGCCTCCGTCATGACAATGGGCATGTCGATGGATGCATCATCTCCGTTCAAGCCGAGCTTGAGAAAGATGTAGTCAAGAACATGCTCCATGACATCCCAATTGCTCACGATACCCGTCCCTTGCTCGTGCGCATAACGTGTGTGGCTCCTCGCAGTCGTGTCGGCATAGCAGTCGCTGCCTGCAAAGGAATACGTCTTTCCGGCTTTTCGGTCGCGGTATTTGGCCATGATCGGTGGGATGTTGAGCCTCGGCTTCTCTTCAAACGACCATCCTGCGCGGACGGCCGAAGATCCTATCGACAGTCAGTCAGACAGCCGCTCCGCCATGTGCGTTTTCGGAAACTCCTGCAAGCTTACCATTGTCGATTACAATGGCCGCGCCTCGGGAGGACTGCGCCAATGCCTTCTCCCGTCCATCCTGCTGTACCGGAATCGGCTTCTCGAACTTGGCTTCCTTGACCTGGAAGATCTTGGCTGGCGGGTACGTTCTCTCGGGAGGTCCTGGCAGAGGAGGGAGCTCGCCCGTAGCTGAGGGCGCCATCGCGATGTTCGTGTGTTGGGAAAGGTCTAGGGTGTCGCAGTGCGACGGACCATGCTTCGGTGATTTACGGGCAGTGGATGATGAAGTTTGAAGCCTCCCAGCTGGCGGCGTCTTCAACGGGAAGGTTCGTTAAGGTAGGGAGCGTCTACGTCACGTGCGTCGCGTTCAATGCGTCTACTTGATTACGGTTGATGAAGTTATGATGCGCCGTTGTTGCGAGGCTGCGAGGCTGTAAATTTCAGTGGACCCCTACCGGCTTGTGCTGCTCGGGTTGCAGCGCAGCTACGCGATCTTAGCGTAGCAAAGGTAGTAGTAATAGGTGGGTGAATCAAGTGCAACCAACGTCTCGCCCCTCGGTGTGGTGTTCAAAATGGGAACGATCACATTCTATCTCAGATCTGCCAAACTTGTGACTGCCTTTATTCATGGTCATTTGAGGAAGGGTGGGAAATGCGGTCAATTCAGGATTCCGAAGCTATCCTCCAGTGGTGGCTTCTCAGTGGGTATCTGCTCTACGGCTCGTGAAGTGCGCCGGAAATGTCATCAGTCTTGTCTCATTCCTCATCCATACACCCAGCACCTAACGACGAGTTTCGCCATGTTCAGGCAGGCGGCTTCAGGTTGTCCGTAGCTGCTCCAGTGTTAAAATTGCTTCACCAAGGTCTGCGTAATGACAAGAAACGTACCCTCGAGATGGAACAAGACATTAGACTGGTAGTTCTTGAACATCTGAGCGACGAGCTCGACATTCATGTTCTCAATGTTGATCTCCTAAACCTGACATCAGCCACGCAAAATTGGCAAGAATAGAGAAAAAGCGACTTACCTGCAGTGACCTGTTCATGACCATGACGGCCTCGTTGAGTTTCTCCTAGAACTGTGTAAGCCGTGGTGACCCATGGTTGTTAGAGAACGACATACCACATTGGTAATGATGCGAGAAAGCAGCAGGTTCTGTTGGTGCTCGTGTGGACTCTCCTATTCTATGCATTAATATGTCTATCCACCTGCACTGCGAGCGACCACGATTGGTATCATACCATTTTGTTGCGCACGTATTTGTGGTTGTGGTGTGTTTGTTTACTCAGTAACAAGTACCCCGCCGCAATCGTTGATGACTTAAGTCGAACGGCGCTCTAGGTACATCTCACCGATCACACCGAGCTCCCGCTCTGCGGTGAGAGACGGCAGAATAAGCTACCCGGTCACTGCTTCCCTCATGTTGCGCAACCAGCCATCCGCCTCCAATTGATACAGCAAAGCCGTATCATCGCAGTTCGAAACCCCCAAACCGCACGATACCACATTCCAACTAAAATGGCGGCCCCTAAAGAAGCTACAGAGGCGCAACTAGCCCACCAAGCCCTCCTCGACGAGCTCGACATCCACTCCATCCATAAGAGCTTCCGCAACCCGTCCTGGAAACCTAATCAGCGCCGCAACAAGAACATCAAGACCATCCTCGGCGATGCCTCCCGCCGCGAGGCCTCGGCTCTGGCGACCCCGCAACAAGAGGAGGCCAGCGCCGCAGCCACGCCAGCGCGGACGACGCGAGGCGGCCGCGGCGGCAACGACGACGACGGCCTTTCCACCAGCGGCGCCTCGACGCCCGCCGCCGGCAACGGCAGCGGCAGCAACGACAATAACCCGAACCTCGCGCAGGCCTCGCGCAGTCTGTCGAAGCTCGTTCTCGAGAAGAGCCTGCGCCCCAACGGTGGTGGTGCCGCCGGCGGCTCGGGCCCGAGTGTTACGTATACCAACGTCGAGTCGGCGCCGTCGCTGGCGCACACGAAGCGGTATTGCGATATCACGGGTTTGCCGGCGCCGTACATCGATCCCAAGACGCGACTGAGGTATCACGACAAGGAGGTGTTTGGGCTGATTCGGACTCTGCCGCAGGGCGCGGCTGAGCAGTATCTCGAAGCGCGTGGTGCGCATACTGTTCTCAAATAAGGAGTGTCTACTGCTTCACATCGTACGGATACCATCTTATGGGTCGGTCGGACATCGACGGCGGCGGCGTGAGGCACGATGCTGCAGCTTTCATAGTTCAGGCGTTAAAGGGGTTTAAGACTATGGTCATGAACCAAGGTTCGGAGTCACCGGGGGTTTCAAGCGGAACAAGCCTTTTTTCCAAGTCAATACGATGGTTATATTTGTTATGAATCAGCCACTGGGTTGCGGCAATCTATGTATGTGCGACCAACAAAGTCAAATCTCAACTATGCAGCCCTGCGCCTTTCAGCATAGGGTGTTAGATGACACTCCGGCTTAATCGTGATAAACTGTTGTTCTTCGCCTGTGAATCGACAGATTACCGAGAACGTATTGAGAGACGATACTCAGTTGCCATAGCTTGGAGCTACAGCCGCCGCGGCGGAACTGCTATGCAGTTATGTTTTCCTTACCGTTTTGATGTAGAGCTTCCCGACTTGCTCGAATCCGGAACCATGGCCGGGGGACGATCCTGCTCGTCTATATCGGAGCTGGTGATATAGATGCTACCGTCTTGTGTCCACGAAGAGGAACGCGCATGCATCTCCTTGGTAGAGCTCAAATGCTCCGTCATGAGGTGTTCCCAAATCTTACACCGCAACAGGTGCTCAGGTGGATAACCTCACGAAGAGCATTTGAGATACCAGTTGCGCCATGTATCAATAAACGCCACATAGGAAAGGCTGAACAGTATCTCCTGACTGTATTGTTGATGATAGTAGACTCGCCAACGGGCCGGTCCTGATGCTCGTGTCGTCGACTTCTTCAAGGCGAACTCAACACTAAGTTGATGTTGAAGAAGCAGGTTGATTTTTTCCAACTGCAGCGCGGGTTAAATCCATCGCGGGAAAATTGAAGCCACGATGTAATTGGCTGGCCTACCTGGAGGAACCCACATAATCTTAGTGCCTTTTGGTGCACTGCACACCACCCCAAAACCCCCAAGAGTTAGGTTCGTTCTGTGACGGCGCGGCCAAGCACCAGGAACTGCAGCAAAGACCCCTGCTCGCATGCCAGCGGCCGGCACCTTTCCCCCTGGTGATCTGTTCTTTGCCTAATCTAAAAAATTACGGCAGCTCACTTCAGTCCTACGATACGCCAATCCTCTCTCGCGTATCTCCCATCCTCCTTTTTCGCGATTGCAGCGCCCTTTTCCGACCCTTCTGTTTATACAGCTACCTTCCTACTAAGACAAGAAGAAACGTTGCCCTCGAACGATCCGATCGAATCGAAGCTCCCTTCTCATCCCACCACCCCAACTCGACCGAAGCTAGGAGCATATACCCAAGATGGCGTCAATGTGGATGTCCGACTCTCAAAGTACGTCTCTTTGCGCTGCCAAGCCGTCACAGGCAATACCGCACCGAAATCACGTTGCGCAGCTTCTACACCACCCGTCAAAGACCGTAGCTGACCTTTGTTCTTACAGAAATTGGAGTAATCTTTTGCTCCGGAGGTACGTTTGCGCCGTCGCCAGTAGCTTTCTGGCGCATCGTGTAGCATACACAACATGTAGGACTCACCGAGGCTAACTTCTCTGCGCTTTTGACAGGAGGTTTCTTCCTTATCGGTGGAGTGATGCTGTTCTTTGACCGAGCAATGTAAGTCGTCTCTCGCGAACTCGTTCCCTTTGGCTTTCGCGACAGAGCTAACACGATCCTTTCTCAGGCTGGCCATGGGAAACGTACGAAACCCTCTCCTCCCTCCTCCCTGACCACAGGACATCTTAAGAAACGACAGACCGAATATCCTGCTACGCACCTGCGAAACCAAAAAGCTGACTGTTACACCGCAATAGATCCTCTTCCTCATCGGCCTGACAATCATCATCGGACCCCAAAAGACGCTTCTCTTCTTCGCGCGGAAACAAAAGGCAAAGGGCACCGCCGCCTTCTTTGGCGGGCTCACCCTGATCCTGCTACGGTGGCCCCTAATCGGCTTCTGCGTCGAGCTCTACGGTATCATGGTCCTCTTTGGCGATTTCCTCGGCACGATTGCCGCATTCGCGCGCAATATCCCCGTCATTGGACCGTATATCGGCACCGCGGTCGATCGGTCTGGCGTCGGTCGCCGGAACGCAGAGTTGCCCGTGTAATTATTCCATTGGAAGGCAGGCAGGCGGGGGATGTATCAACGTATCAATGATTTTCGGGGGAGCCACTGGAATGAGGAGGATAACGTATAGACGGGATTGTATACCATAACGGCGCAGATTGGGTCCTGAACCTATGATTTGATAAGACTTGTAATTATACGCCGATTTGCTTTCGGTTCTTAGAGCAAGGGCGAGACCTCTGTCTGGGACGACGGAATTCGCTCAAAGATAATGAATGAACGGAAAGACACACTCGAAAACCATCTGGCACACACGTAGGACGGAAATACACGTCATTGACATAGGGTTGACGCATTTCGGACTCGAACGTAGCCGCGGCTAAGCAAAGATTCCGCCATTGGTAAACTCTTGCTAATCTAGTGTTCGTCGATTCGTATTGTCAACATCCTCGTGTGTACGCGGGAGCGAGATGCCCAGCCTGCCTCGCACACAGTAAACTCTAGGGGTTTATTTCCTAGAGCTGCAAAAATCCCCCCGCGTGCCCCCTCCTCTACGCCGTCATCTCCTCCATCCGGGCTGGTATTCTTAGTAGCTCACACTGACGAGGTAGTCTGCCAGCTTCTCCACCGCCAGAGTAGCGCTGCCGGCCTGCGCGTTCTCGCCGTGGTGGCCGAGAAGGATGGCCTGGGTCGACTTGGCGACGGCGATACCCTCCTTGCCCTATTCAAACGATTTCAAGTCAGCCCTTCTGCGGATGATGCCAGGTTTTTCTCGTGCTTTCAAAATGTGTATGCGTGTCCAACCTTTCGTGCGTAAATGGCACCCTCCTCGGCACGGGCCATGACGTATCTCTCGCCGCCGATGAACAGACCATCGGCAAAGGCCTTGTCCTTGACGTCCGACTTTCCGGTAACAATGTCGGCAACGACCTTCATCTCCGTGGCGGAGAGCTATATTGCGCAAGACAGATTGTCAGTAACGGTGCTGAGGCTAGAGATTCATTGGCGATTGGAGGCGGGATCACATACGGTGAAACCGGCACTCGACGCCCACGTGCTGTCACCGGCGATGCTGATGATGGCGGCCTTGTCAATGTGGCCGGTGCCGACCAAGCTACAGATCCCACGTCAGTTCTCCATTGCCCATTCTATAGCTCAACAATCCCTCGCGATGCGAAAGCCGCGAAAACAAAAAGCTGGTGCAAAGCTACCTGGTGTCAACGTAAGCTGTAGAGAGAGATTGTCAGCTCATCCTGATGATGCTCGAGGTGGGGGGGTTTTCCCCTCGGAGTTGGCTTCTCCCTCCCCATCCGTCTCTCCTGGGAGAGAGCTGCCAACGCCCGCATCGGCCCTCGTGGGGGTGGGAGATTGCGAAGTGAGTGAGCTTACCTTGCCACGACATGATGAAGGAAGGAAGACGGGAAGAAATAAGAGACTAGTGCTCGCTGGTGCAAATTAACAAGAAAAGAGACAAGAAAGCTTCTCTGTGTCGAAAGGGGGTGTGCAAAAAGCTCAAGCTTTGACGCGGTGTGGGATATGGAGGGGAGGAATTTCGGTTTGTGACTGTTGATGTTTCTTGTTCCTCTTCCTGCCTGACGTTTGCCCCTCTCTCCTCCGAGGAATACCTCAGCAAACCAATTTTTAGGTCCAGCGGGCCGGGCGGGGTATCACGCTACCTGCTGAGAGGTCATTGCTGGCGCCAAAGTAGCGGTGCGGGGTACTTTCTTCAGCATCGCGGCCGTCGTAGGCGAATACCTATGTTTCTCGTTGCTTCCACCCCCCGGCAACTGTAGGTGCTTTGGTTCAGGAAAGTCCAGCAATGTCATGCAGCTACCACAGTAGGTAGGAACTGCAAAGAGTTGCTGTACCTTATCCGAACATTTCTCATCATTTCTTCTGAATCTTCTTCCTTTTCGACAGCCACGGCTTATCCTTGTCTGACGAATTCGATCCCCTATCTATCTACCTACCTGTACCCGAGGTAGCTAATCCACTCGAGAGAGCTCAACGAGTCCACAAGATCCGCCGGGTATTCCCATCACCGCCTTTGTAGCCATTACCTTGCTTTAAGTACCTTACCTTACCGCCTTACGTATCTTTCCACCTGGGTGCCACTTCCGGAAGCTGCCCCGCCAAACGCATTGTTTAGTCACGTGATGGCGGGGTGACTGTGCGAGTATGACAGAAGGAGGCACAGTACCGACACGGCATTGTTGGCCCCCACCCATTTGAGGGCCGTCACCGCCTCAGCTCGCCACACTCAATGCGCCACGGCAGCGACCCCCGTTTCCCATCTTCGCCAAGCCCAACACATCTCCGCCGGCGGCCCGGCAAAGCTCTATGCCGCCTTCCATCTCTATCGTCGTCTTCGTCGACGTCGCTATCAACGGCTTTTCGTTTCCAGAAGGATCGAAAGATTGAAACAGACGATCAGTTGACGGGAAGTGAGAACGGACGTGCATGATGGCAACATCAAGCGGAAAGAGTTTCTTTCTAAACATGTTTGGATCGTCCATGCAAGAAGGAGCGCATATTCCAAGTTAGTCACGCAACTACTTCAGCCCGACTTGCGCTCGACGTCTTCTGTCTTTATTCTATCCACCTGCATGCGGTCAACAAGGGCAGCCTACAAGCGGCAACATCGAGCACGCCTGGTCGACGGAAGTCCGTCCGCAACGCAGCTCGGAGTCGAAAGACAGGACGTTTCCGTCTTCAGCTTGGTCCTGCACAGTCGTAGTCGTCTATTCAACCGATCGGCTCTTTGAACTTCTTGTCCCCATCACGCTGGGATCCAGGCTGTACAGCATCTTTCCCAGGCTTTGGCCTGTCTCATCAGATGGAATTACGCTCGCCAGCGTATACGTCCGATCATCTGGATAAACTATCAGAGTTGTTTCCACTCAACGCCTCTCACGGGATACTACACTGTCAACGGATCGTCACCCGGGGCACCGCCTACGTTACGCTTGATCCGCCGCTGTCTCACACCTTAATTGGTCGCCCTGGTAGTCTTGTCATCCCAACAACATTTCCAGGCTTCCGAATCCTGATTTTGCACGGGTTCACAAAACCATCGACGGGCTATGGAAGAAAATCGAAACAGGGGCTAGATTTTATCGAAGAGATACGGACACCGGCGCCTAACCTTATCCTATTCGTAGAATGTCCAGCCGGGAGGAACTAATTGCTTAGTCTGGGATCGGCTGCCGCAAACTTACTTGCAGCGGAGGACTCGGCTTACACGACGATTTGGTAAACTCAACCCATGGGAGGAGCCAGCTGCATCTGCATGGCATTATTCGTGGACATCACATGAGCAAGAGAGAACACGAAAATGGGTTCCAGCCATCCCTTCAGACGAACTTTGAGTATACGGATGCTGCTCATCAAACCAGTTTTACTTTTTGACAGCAATGCGATCACCTCCTGGCAACATGGTTATCGTTCAGAAGACAAGGGCATATTTCGCGACGATTTCTTCAGGGGCGTCTTCGTGGCATCTCTTGACTGACGATATCTCTTGGAACCGACCAGAACGACAGGGTGTCTTCATGATGGCCAGTAAAGTCTTAACTTGCGCTCTGGCCACCTGACGATACACTGGCTGGCGGATTTGCAATCTTGAGACGATCATTCGGCTTTCAACCCTGGACGAGACAGTTCAAACCCCGTCGCTGGATAGCCTTGCCGCATCCTCCCATCATCTCTTAGCTCCTGATCTGCCCTGATACCTGGTCAGCCTTGTCACACAGGGCTCCTCGATAGCCTGCGATTCTTTGGAGCCATTTTCCGGACCTGGGGGGATGATCTGACTGTGGGCCTATCGTGGACTGAGAAGAACAAGAGGTGCTTGTCAGCGCCTAGGCCCACGCGCACAGCACGTCGCATGCGGTCAACGCCAAAAAAAAAAAAAAAAAAAAATCGAGAACAACAAACTTTCCAACGCTCGACGACGCCCACCTCAGCAACAGCGCTCCGTGTCCCAGGAAGTATGTTTCAATACGACACCTTCTAAGATGGAGGGTGTTTGATACTTTGATTTCTCCCGGCTGACAGGACAACCTGTAAGCTCCAACAGCAGACGCATACGAGGCACTAGGGCGTGTCGTCTACCAGATCCCCCCGAACGATGACACCTCGAGCGGCAGACTTATTCAGCGTCGGCCCTAAGTAAGCTGCCAATTTCGTGGTACTTGGCGCGTCCTCCATCAACCGACTTCCCAGCGATGTGAGCGGCTTGCATTGTCTTCGCAATGTCATTGCATGGTTGTATCGGGGAACACAATTGGTGTTTATGCCCGTGGGCGTACGAAGTTGCGAGACGAACGTATCCGTACGGAAACCTGTGCGGGAATTGGGCCAAACAAGCGGTGGGAAAATGGACCAGGAAATAACCAAGATTTGATCAAATTACACCGACCAGCGCTGGCGTCACGCTGGATAAGCAGACCTAGTGTGAGAAGGTTATTTCCTTGATTGTGGACCATGGTTGGTGGGAAGCCGGATGAGCAACGATGTCTCTGATCCTTTCATTTAAAACGAGAGACCCGTTTGATGTCAGAGTGGGGGATCGGTACATGCGTGGGCAGGGCGTTGTTAGCCCAGCGGTGCGGAGAGGATCCGCGACTGTAACGTCGTGTAACTCTCATTCGCTGACCGCATCGGCTGGGAGATTGAACTTCAAATGAAGCAATTTTCAGCCTGGTGACCGTTGGGCAAATCTTGGGGCGGCACTGGGGACGTCCTCGTGTTACTCATCTTGAGTCTGGGCCAGTCCCATCTTTCAGAGGCGATTCGGATTCCGGCTGCCCCAGTTTCTTGCAATTGGGATCAGTCCAGTTCTTCGACGACTTCCACGGCCACTTACAAGTAACCGTAGCGCAGTGACGGCTTCTCGGATTATGAGCGAATCGATCATTACATACATCGACGGACGAGGCTTGGGCCTCGGGGGGCCGACGACAACGAAGGCGAGAGGACGTGCGGTATGACAGGGACGACCCTGAGGCTTGTTGCCCCCGGGCTGGGGTAACCCAACCTTTCCAGGATGTCCCGCAGACCAAGCACGGATGCGACCCTCCCTCTTCTCTCATCCTTCTCGAATCTCTCCCCTCTTT